CTCTGAGCACTGGGTGAGACTGTGAAGGGCAGCAGCTGAGGGAGCATATGGGACTGGAGGGTTAATAAACCTGGTCCTATGTTGCAGCAAGGCTTCGATATATCTACACTTTCAGTCTGAACTTACTCATTACTTGCTAATATTCACATACTCCTGTGTCCATGCTGTCCTTTAAATAGTATATTTTTCCTTCCATGGTGTTTACTTCTGATGTATTTCTGGAGAAGGGCCACATGTTCCCTCAACACCCACTTTGCCCAGCTGAGTGAGCCCCTTTCTTCTAGTCTGCCTTCATGGGAACATTTTGTCAAAAATCAAATCATCCCAGCCCATTTCTTTCTACCTTGTCCAAAGTGAATATTTTCTTGACCAGGACACAGGATTTGTGATTCCACATCACTTCCTACCACTTTTATGTGGCATCAAAATTTTCCTGCTTCGACTGGAAATACCTGTCCCGATGCAGCCTCAAAATACATTTGCTTCTTTCATGGCTGAGGAAAAATCCACTTTTGTGGTTTACAATCATTCTGAGATTAAATACTGCTCTAAAGCCTTTCCCACCACCTTTCCAATACTCTGCTCTCAATATAGTATATATTATTCTGCATATATAGTGTATATCTTACAAATACACTGCAGTGTGTATTTTTCTATTTAATCTCCACGTTTGCCTTCCGTTTGTGGAAAACTGCATTTCATCCCGTTTATTTTGTCCCAGCCCTCAAGGTCATCCACTTTTTCCTGGATGATTTCCCAAACTTCCTCTGTCAGGACAATGCCTCTCAGCATCATGGCATCAGCAAATTTTAGCTTCATGAGCACACTGCTAAGATTTGTGCCAAAACCCTTTCTGAAAATTAAAAAATACCAGTTTTTAAGAGTGAGAGCTGAAGGTCCCACCTTGCAACCCCATCTCAGCCAACCCAGCACTTGCCACTTCTCTTGAAGCCAGCCCCTGCTCACTTTCCAATTTCTTTTCTAACCCCCATCTTCTCCATCTTAATAGCTCTCTGCATGGACTGTATCAAATCTTCACTCAAGTCCAAATAGATGAAATCTACTGAATTTCCTTGGGGTAGAAAATCAGTTATCTTATCAAAAAAGTTATTAGATTAGCCTGGCAAGATCTATCTTTAGAAAATCTGTGTCACATTTTATCCCATTTTTCCCTCAACAACATGTCTTTAATCAGTCTTTGCTTGAAAAAACATTCAAAGGCCTTGCACTAACAGCCTAGAATTTTCCTTGGATCATTTTTCATCCTTTTCAAATGTTGGGCATTACTATTATTAATCCTTAGAGTTATGGCATCACTCCAGGCTTTGTTAAAAATATTTCCCTCTGACCCCCTCATTTTGTGAGGCAGCTTTTTCTCTTTGTTGGGATAGAGGTTATCTGTTCATCCTGATTTGAGTGCATTAAGCTGCATAATTTGCTCTCCTTTTGATTACTGTTTTTCCATTTTCATAACCTTGTTGCTGTGATTTATTTTTCCAACAGGATTTTCTTCCCCAAAACCAGAGGCAAAGTATTCACTTAAGTTCTTGGGTGATGGCCTCTGTTGGCACTGATGCACACCCCTCACAGGTGTTCCAGCATCTTTACATCCTCCAGGACTGTCATGATATGTTGCCACCAGAAATGAAGCCCCTGACTCTGACAAAAAGCACAGTCTTTGTGCTGAGCAATACAGGATGCTCCTCCCTTTCTCTGTTCCTCTGCTGTCAGCCTCCCGTCCCAGATGTAGTCATGCACCAGCAATCCTCCCCACCATGTCTAACACATTGGGTTTTATCAGTTTTAAGCAGAATGGAGGAAGGAAAGACATGCAAAGAGCTTCTTGTGTTTAGCTGAAGCAAGGGAAAAAGTACCCCTTGCAGACGTGATTATAAGGAGAAGCCAAAACCAGGCATCTGTTTGCAGCCAGGCAGTTCCAGTGCAGACTGAGCACTGATGCTACCTTACTGCAGTAGAAAGGCAGGTCAACACAGTTTTTACCACTATGTCCCTTTTTGACAACAAATCACCTTCATCCCTGATGTCTTCAAGGTCTAGACCAGGGAGCAGAGCACCCACCTTCACCAGATTCATGCCAGCAGACAGCTACCTTGCACACAGTTCTCTACTGACTCCACACAGCTGCCCCAGGTGGCCCAAAGGGCCTGTGTACAGGCAAGGCTTTATTTAACTGTGGTCTCCCACTGTGATAATATCCTGGACACAACTTGGGTTGCCATCTCAGCTAGCTGTTGTGTATCCAGCACTCAATCCATCTGTGAAACCTACCTCCTTGCAAAAGGTGGAAACAACTGATCTGTCTAAAGCTTTCTCTCCTGGGGGAAGGTGACCATTTATATGCCTGTTCATCTCTGAAAGCTGGGGAAAGGGAAGAAACTTTCTGGCCCATCTGCTGCTTTAAAATGAAAAGAAGTCAGGAAAGATACAGACAGCTCCTGACTGATTCCAGCTTCCCTCACTCCTCTGCCCAAAGCAAGCACAGCTCCTCTTTCAGGAGATGAAAACATTGAAAGAAATTAAGGCGATGGATTTTTTAAAAAGGATCAGAAAAAGAGTGGAAAAAAAAGCAGAGACAATTTACACAGCCACAGATCAGGAACCTCACTGCTGGAGTATGTGACTGTGCTGGGAAGTGTCACATGAATCTGCTGGGAGATCTCCATGCTGTAGTCCAGATAAGAAGCTGAACATTTGGGTTTTATCCGAACTGATCCTGAACTTCACAGCCTTTTGAGATCCTGCCAATCTCTCCCTCTGCCCATATGCAAGTTTTTCTCCAGCATGGAAGGTGATTTTGCTTTATGTGTTTGCAATGACAGGTTGTGAATCAACACAACAACCATGAAGTTATCACATGGGACCATGGGAACTTTTGGGTTTAGGTCTCTATGTTTTAGGGACTAAAGAAGACCGTGAATGAAAAGCCTAGAAATTGAACCAGTTTCAAGGTTCTACTTGCTAAACCCTTACCATAAAAGTAACAAAATTTATCAAACTAACTGCATTTAAAATCCTCCAGCTTTCATCTGTCACACAGCTTATTTTAAAAGCCATCCCCTGCAAAGTTGTATTCCCCCATCCACTGTTTGAATTTATGGAACTGATGCTCACTGAGGAGTTGAGAGTTGGAAAGGCACCCTCCCTAATGGGGAGGCATGAAGGATTTGTGTTTGGCTTATGACAATCGGGAGTGCTGAGGGTCTGCTGAATATAAATAAAAAATTACAAGCTGCAAAGTTTCAAATTAACATCCTCACATTATTCTTCAGAAAAGTTTGGTCCTTCCTTTGATCTCAGGATTACAGACAGCCGGGGTCTTATTTGCAGCTACACAAAGAACCTGCTGCACTATAGTGGCAGTAGGCACAGACCTTAAAATAAAACCCAGAGCACATGAATAGTCATTTGCAGACCTCTGTCAGCACTGTAGAGAGACTGTCATTTTGGGACATCAATGGATGAATTGGGCCCCTGCAGTCAAATACGGGCATACTGCAAAGGCTGGTCTCTCTAAAATCCAGAATTTGTCTCAGGAATCATTTCTCTTTTTATTCTCACTTGATTAATCCCAGACTGCGTTCTTCAGGCTCATTCCCACTTGCAAGACAAGCAGGACAACAGCAATCATTTGTGTTCTTTGTAAAATGAATTCTTATTGGCAACTTATAAACTAAATGCTGATTTGTTCCCCATAATTAATAAATTCTTCTGCAGTATAATACAACTCTCTACAAGTTCAAATTACTTGAGACTCCTGAAAAATTGTCTAACAGTTGATGGCATATTATATATATATATATATATATATACACACACACAGAGTCAAAATACAACTTTAGGAGTGGTATACTGTAAGTTCTTTTAATCCTCAGATATTTAACTGTATCTACCTTAATTTTTAAGACAGAGGATGTAGGGTAGAAACATTATTGCCTTATTTGCAATCCTGCCTGAATACTTGGAGAGGTATTAAATTAATTGTGCCTTTTCAGAACTAACTGCTAGGTCTTCAGACAGTGTGTAGTACCTACACCTGTAAGTCCTGACATTTCAGTAGGGACACAAAATGCAGCACTTCTGGAAATGAGGGCCGAGATGGGAAGCAATTACAGCCAAGGTTTGAAATGTGAAACGCTCAAGATTTGGCTTTTGAAATTCAACATATTTCTTCAATTAAATATTGAATAGCTGCGACTATAAAAAGCCTATGTAGATCTCGAATTAAAGTATTATACTCTCTGGTGAAAGAGGAGGTCAAGGCCAGAGCCAACAGAAGGCAGCTGCTCCGATGAAGGTTGTCACAGCTAATCACGGGAATCACCCCTCTGCTTTCTGTGCTGCAGGAAAGAACGCACCTACTGCTGTACGGACAGGCAGACTGCTGAAAACTGGGGTTTGGGTACAAATTTGTGAAGCAGTAGCAGTAAACAATTTCTATTTTGGCAGATTCAGAATGCCTTTTCATATAAAAATCAAAACCAAACATGTTCTTGACTCCAGAATGGCCCTAGATCGTACTTTTATACAAGTACACAATAATAAGGCAAAACAGACACTAAAAACATATCCTGGCAATAAATACTTTAAGACTCCATTAGAAAACCAAAAGGTCACATCTGATACGTGAAAAAGTCAAATTATCTAAGCTGACATTTACAACTGATTTGAACTGACATTAGCATGAAAAATACAATTTTACTGCAAGAAGTAGTCTTACCTATAAGTTTAAATGTGCCCTTTAAGCATTAATGCTGAAAACAAAGCCCTGAAAAATATCTGCAGCCCTGCCAATTACATTTCAGTACTTTATAGCAAAGCAACGTGAAGCAGACAATTAGCAGAAGGTTTCAGCCCCTCATTAGCAAGCAGAATCTAATAGGAAGAGGAAAAAAAACCACCACCATATGAGCTCTGATGAGCAGATTAGGGGCTCGATCCAGCTGTGAGATATTCAGGCACCCATTACCATTCAACCAGCTTATCCACGGATGTGAGCAAATACCAGGAGCTGATTTTGCAACACGCACAGTGACGAGCCGGAGCATCCATGCGCCTCTCCAGGCAATAACAGAGCCCTCTGCCTGCCTGCTTGCTGTTCACTAGGAGAGAGAGACACATTTTGCACAAAGCAGCCGATTTGCGTTTTGTGGACTTACTTTAACTGTCGAGGTTCGCAGTCAACTCCCGGCAGCAGGAGCCTCGCTGCCTGCCGTACGTCATCGCTGTCCACCGAGAAACTGCGACGGTGCCCCGCGTGAGCCACGGCAACCCGAATCCATTCCATCAGGGGAGGCAGCACAATGAACGGCCTGGGGAAGCACACAAACGTGAATGCCACAGTACCCTGGCACGGAAATAACAGGTAGAGAGAAAGAGACACCAGGGGAGTGCATGTGTGTGCGTGTGCATATATATGGGAGAATATATATTTATGGAGAGAGAGAGAGAGAAGGGATCAAGCAAAACGAAAGAATGGGAGAGCAAACCAGCTCAGCAATTTTCAAGTAGGTCTAAATGAAGATGTCTCACCCTGTCACCAGAGCAGGATTATTTGAAGAGTGAGATTTATGAGCCACGTTCATTTATGGGGCTCCTGTGAGGTCAGTGCACCTGCCTGGCAAGCCCTCTTTCCCCTCTTCCCATCCTTCACACAATGTAATCCCAAAAAGAGGGCATGAGCTTGGCACAGGACCATGTCCTGCTCTGGCTGACACACCGGCCTGGGTATGCTCCCCTGCCACTTTACCACAGGGATAGGAGAATGAACCTGGGCAGAGAGAGGGGATGCCCCCATCCCGAGATGCCAAGGATGGAGAGGGGATGCACAAGGAAGTCTCCAGCATCTCCTGCTGATGCAACACACACTTTGTGCTCAGCACGGAAACTGGGGGACTTTGCAGCTGATGTGAAGGTTATCTTTGAGTGAGGTCAGAAATCAAGACCGTTTTGTTTCACTTTTAGGAGTATCAAACCGCTACAGCTTTGGGTGCCAGCTGTTCTGCCAACTGAGCAAAAATATAGAAAACCAACCCCCAAAGTGAATGGTGGGACTCTGGGCCACAGCCTCACCTTGAGCAAAGTTTGGGCACTATCAGAGACATGGTCCTTCACTCCACAATGCCTGCGCAGCTCTGTGCCCCAGTGAGAGCTGCACAAGCCTTAGATGAAGCATGCAGCACACGATTTGCTCCACCTATGTTAAAAATTACTTGGGAACCAAGAGAAAAATGCCACACTTAAATGAGAACCATAGCTTTAAGTCCTAGTTCAGAGATAAAACTAATAAAATGACTGCAGCTGAACACCTTGAAGGTCACTGCAAGTCTCTTGCTTGCCTTTCCTTCTGCAGTCCCTTTTCATGGAAAAAGGGAAAAAACGCCTGTATTAGGTGCAGAGTAGGCAAATATTTTACATTTTAAATATGCAACTTTACCTCAAAAGGATCTACCTTGAGAAAAATTATTTAAGAAGATGTTGATTCTGGAATATCTTTTCCTATTTATAGCTCTTTCTGCATTTATTTCCCTTTTTGAGGACTTGGCTTTACATAGCTCTGATATTAATATTCTTGAGGAGGGATGAGATATTTCAAAAGTGCCGAAGGACAGAGAAACCCTGAGGCCACTAACTTTCCTGAGGACGCCGGGTTCCCAAATCTCATGGGCACTTAAATGAACAACCTCTTTTTGAAATATGACATCTTTGGCCGACTTGCCACTTTCATCATTATTCTATTCAAACACATTGCCGTCACCTCAAGACCAGGCTGCATTTGTTTCCAAGGTTTTTTGCTCTCCCCAGACCTGCCACAGGCCACGTAAGGAGGCAGATAAGGATGGAACATCTTCTCCCACAGCTCCCGTGAAACGATTTCCATAACTCAGCTCATTTGGCATGAGGGTGGCAGGAGTCAGAGAAGGGAGAGTGGGGAAGCAGGGGTGTATCTGCTCCTAGAAAGTGACCTGCTCCCCAGGGCATCTTAGGAGTAGAAGGGACCCTCTTCTGCAGCATTAAATAGCTGAGGACAAGTGATCAGCAGGAGTTTTTTCACCACTTGCCGAGCAAACAGCAGAAAGGGAGCTGCAAATCACACTGGAAGTGTAAAACTGCACGTAGTTACAGATATAACTTGGTTCTAGGAATACAATTAAAGAAAAACTCAATTTGAGATATGTTTTGCATGAGTGAACACTGTTTGGATCAGAGAAATGAAGACAGGCTTGTACAGAGCCTTCCTATAACATCTGCTGGGGGAACAGAAAAGCAGAGAGCTGTGGCTGAGCAGGGGACTCTGTGGTTCACTTTTCCTCCTCTTGTGCAGGTCAGAACCCCCCCGAACAAAATCTGCCCCACCACAGTAAGGAGCAGAGCAACTAAAAATATCTACAGGAACTGAGATAACTGCACTATAAAATTGCATTTTTTTCCTTTCCCAGACTTGCAAGCTTCAACAGAGAAACAGAAATGAACATGGCTATTTGGTGCAATAAATCCCAAAAGGGAAGAGAACTGGTGTTCTGCAGAAGCAGGGGAATTTTCTATGAAGTCCAATTTCAGTCCTAGATAAGGATGCAGAGTTTACTCACAATATATTAGATTCCTTTTTCCGAGGCAGAAAGAAAAATCATCACTGCATATTTCAGCATGTCAGGGAATTTGTATTTTGAGAAGAAAACCAAATATGTCTGAGTGCAATAGGTTAAAAATACCCTTCAAGAGCCTATGCACCATGTGAAGGGGATTTTTTTTTTTAAATACTGCTTGTGTGCCAAAGAAGAAAGAGGAACACTAAGTTATAAGGGTGTGACAACCCACAAGACAATGTGACATCAGCAAGAAATATTTCACTTCTCAAATGGCACTGTGTGAAAATGGGTTAGGCAAATGCATCATATCACTGGTGTATATGTTGATTTATCTCTGGTACAAAGGCAGGTAACAACCAGGAGAGTTCAGTAATAATGTGTTCAAGAGCAGATAAATAGCAAGTTAGTCACCTAGTTATATGCTTTGGAAGCGTGTCTTAATTAAACTAATCTAACCATGGTAGGAACATGCTGGGCTTCTGCCTCAAGGATATGGAAAGTCAGGAGCAGCTTAACTGCTGCAGAAGCACCTTACCTGGGCTGCAGGTCAGTGAGTGCTCTGACCTTCTCCTCCTCCAGCCCATCTCTGTACTTGTGCTTAACTTCAAATGTATGCTTCCATCCTCTTTAATTCCCTGCAGTTCAAAGTTAAGTGTGGATTTAAGTAGTATCCCCCAAAAAGGATGGTTTTTGGCACAGACTTGTATTTTCCTGAGCTGACATCTAAATGGAAAAACATGCCAGATCAGGAAGCAGGGAGAGGTCTCTGCACAGAGCAATTCCCATCCCACGCGAAGGAGCTGGGAGGTGGAGGAGGGATGGAGGAGGCCAACATAAAGCAGATCCCAGAGGGCTGGACCCTTCTGGGCCCTGTCCCCCTGTTCTCAGCAAGGGGGTAGCTGGCTCCTCTCAGAGCATGCCTTCATCAGAAAAGGCAATTATGAGTGCTCCACAAACCCTCACATCTCTGGTTCTTCTTCCCACGTAGCATCCTTCCTTTTTCCTCCTGCTGCCAAGTGCTCCTCTCACATCTATTTTTGGACAGCTGGAGGACCCATAAGCTCCTGTGCCTTGAAGACATCTGCAGGTAATAACCTGCTGGCACTCCCCCACAAGGGACAACCACTTGCCTTCCTCTCCTGTCCTGCTATCAGACGTCCCTTTCCGCATCCTCTTCACACATCCCGGCTCCCTGCCCTGCCAGCACCCTCCCTCTGGAGTAGGGCCAACAACCCCTCCCTATCCAATCGGACATCAAACCTATCTTGGTTTTCATGGGGCTGATTTCTCTGGGGCACTTCGAATTACAAAATAACTCATCAGAAAAGCAGGTATTATGGAGGGGAACTAAACATAACGCATAATCCTCTCTAATCACACCACCTTAACCACATGAGGGCTTGCCTAAAACCTGCACTCCCTCCAAAGACATGCACACCCATCCTGGGCTGCCCACCATTCCCGTCCCTCACTTGCTGACACACAGAGATATTAAAAGTCCTGTCATGCATATGCAATAACTCAGGCTTTTTCATTATTATTAGTGTAAGTAGTACTGTTATTGTTATTGTTGTTATCGGTGGCAGTATACCTTTATATAAACAAGAGAAATTGTCAGATGAAAGACCATGAGAAATGTGCGCCATAAAATGCAATAGGATGCTTCATTATTTTTGCGTGGGTCTGTGAGAAGATGGATGAAGCTCCTGTCTGGACACCACCTGCTGCAATGCCAGAGCTGCAAAGCACTAGGGCCAGCACTCTGACAAATCCCAGCTCCAAAGAACCCCTGGCCCTGGTTTTTCATTGTCTCTACCATCTTTGCAGGGTGCAGACTCCCTGCTGGCCACTGACCAGCTTCAAAGTCTGCATTCTGCCCAGTCCTTCAAGGGCAGGGCCACTACACACACAACCACTCCCTTCTGATTTCCCAGCAGCTGGAGCAGTTCCTCCCCTCCCCAGCCACTCCCTCTCCCCTATAGCAAGTAATCCACCTTTTTGGCAGTACCCTCCTTGTCAGGAAAGCAGTGCCCTGTCTCACTTCCTTCTCCCAATTCCCACTGTGGGGGGTGACTCCTCAATCGTTTTAGCCAGATGATGAAAGTCCCAAACTGGGAACTACTGCCTGTCACCTCCTCTGTTATGCAGACTTAAACTGCCTTCCTGATGACACACTCATCACCTTTGAACACCCCTCAGCCAAGCTCAGTCCTCCCACGCTGCTGTGGCTCACCAACCCTGGACAGGCAACCAGCCCCTTGCTCACAGTAGAGCCTGCAGCACACTCCGGGTACAGGAGCTCATCAGCACACAGGAGAGACTCCCCAAATCTCTCAGTGCTCATAGAAAAAAAATCATCTTTTCAAGTGCAGCACAGCAACCTCTCTCTATTTCCAGGGGCACTTCACACTGCTCTTTTTCAGACACCTATGGAGCCCTTGCCCTGCCACCTGTGCACAATCGCTGCCTATATTAAATCAAACTCTAGGGAGGGGAGTGGCTTGATAGTCTGTATCACAATAACAGACAAATTCCTGAGGGCTAATCCTATTTGGACATGAATTCCCACAACTACCCCCCGTTGTCCCTCCCTCAGTTTCACCAGCTGAAGTGGACACAGCTGAACAGACTTGACCTTGCTTTAACTCAGTTCAATTGTTACAACTGCTTCGGATGATTTCTGTTTGCAGGATCCTTTAGCTACTGAGGAGGATGGTAATGTTACAGGTGTTGAGTTTCTTCTCACTCCAGCCAAGGAGTGCTGACTGCAAAGCTTTGTGGCAATGGCTGGAAAATTGCTACACACAGATCGCTGCAATCAAGTAAGACTTAAAGGTGCTTCTGAGAAGCATAAGGCTGTAGTTTTACAGGTAAAAGCCTATCTAGATAAAGGTAGGGAGATGTTTCTTCTTGCACATATGAGTCAGCAGCTTTAACACTGTAAAAAGCTCTTTACATTTGTTTTGTTAGTTTGTGTTTTTCATGGGTGGTTTTTAAAGAAAATCCCAACATATAAATGGAAGAGCCTCCACAGTTCTGACAGATTTCATTTAGAACATATGATTAAACTATATATGCAATGCTAGTCCACTTTTAGCCTTATTGAAAGATAGAAAAGCATGGTTTTTTCCAACGTATAGAGCACATTTTAGATGGGCTTCTGGGCTGCAAAATTCATTTATAGTTACAACATAAGCTCTTTGTCTTCAGAGAGAGCAAATACTTTTTTGATGCCTTCAAAAAGCTGCCAGTCCAATCCTTCCCAGAGACCCAGCAATGCTGACTGATGCTCCATGCTGAGTTCATGCAGCTACTCCATACTAGGCAGCTCCTCTGCCACCCCAGAAGTTCAGATAAGGGTGACACAAGCAGCCAGCCTCTGACAAAACCAATTCTGCATTTTGTCCAGGCCAAAGGGTGAAATCTCCATGCTCTCACACAAGCAGTGTGTCACCCTCAGGGAGACCCACCTAGGCAGAGGGAGGGTTTACCCTCATGCTTTTGAGCACCAGATCATTGGTGCTCCCAAGTCCACACATAGGTATCTGCAAATCATGGGTTTTGAGCCTGCATCCAGTGTTGGAACAAGCTGTTCCTGTTGCCTCTCCTGCACAGAAAACATTAAAGGCCAAGACTTGAAACACAACTGAGTCAAAGTGATGACTCAGCCAGCAACCACAACGGGGAGATATTTCACTGGCAGTTTTGACATCAGA